CAGGAAGGAGGGTGCTGGCTGTGCAGCAGTTTCCATGGATTTTCCCCCCATTTCCATGTGGCATGAGCAGTGCAAGGAGTTCTGCCACCATCCCGTGGAAAGGGCAATCCAGGGGTCAGATGAGGGGCAGTGAGGGGAGAGGGCAAAGCAGCCCAGTGCTTCCTGTACCCTCAGACTGTGCCATCCACCAGGACACAGGCAACATCTTGCAGAATAATTCCTGTAAGTGAATTGCTGAGGAAATTGTATTCCTATTCATTTCCTGCCTTCTCCTTGGGCCCCAGTGATACACTAAGCCTCTGACTTGTATTGCATTGTTGTGGTTTGCATGGTACATGGCTGATGCAATTTGAAGTCCTGTTGCTAGTGATTCCTGAGGTACTGCTCCTTCAGACAAACTGTGGTTCAGAGCTTTACTCTGTTTTTATTTGTGTCAGAGTGAGTTTTGATTAAGTAAAGGTTTCTGAATCTGGCTCCTGCCAGACTTGCATATCGGGTTCTTACATGCACAGGAGTCCTGTGAGGAATAACAGCAAAATACAAAATCCTTCCAAGTCTACCTTCTGCCTTCTCTGTCCTGCAACAGTTCTCCTTGAACACTTCGAGTCAAGTTTGGAAACCAGAGTGCTCAGTCTCTTAGGCTGTTCTACCTACCTATAGTTGAGGTTCCTTTTGAGAGAGGAAATCTTGGCTGACTCAATATGTTTCCATCCAAGGAACTTTATACTTGAATTGTATGCCCAAAAGAAGCATTAAAGATTGTTCAGTCTGTTTTATTGGGTCATAGCAGGCTGCAGGTTGCTGTGCCTGATGGGTCTGAGCATTACCTGGTACTGTACTGATACTCTGGCATACTTTTCCCCCCACAGTATCCAGAATTGAGCTTTGGTCAAAGTGATCAGCTCACCTGAAATCAGTGTTTAGTTTTGTAGAAATAAATGGCAAATGGTGGCAGTTAATGCCAGATGAAGTGAAAAAAGTTGATTGCCATATCTGAGTTCCTGCCAGAAGTGTATAGATCCGGTGTCCTCAATGCCAGAAGGACATGGAACTGTTGGAGCAAGGCCAGAGGAGGCCACAAAGCTGATCAGAGCACTGGAGCACCTTCCCTATGGGGACAGGCTGAGAGAGTTGGGGCTGTTCAGCCTGGAGAAGAGAAGGTTGTGTGGAGACCTCAGAGCAACCTGCCAGGAGCTGAAGGGGCTCCAGGGAAGCTGCAGAGAGACTCTTGGTTAGGAACTGCATGAGCTCAGCTCTAAGCTCTATCCCAACCCCTTAACAATCCCTGATGCTATGAAACTCTGAGTGCTGACGGGCAGGATGCAGCACAGACAGTCCTGGGGGCTCCAAACAATGCCTTTTCTGGGGCCAGTCCCATTTGCTGACACATTACTTTCATGAATCCCACCATTAGTGCTGTAAGCACATGAAGTATAAGTTAATTCTACTGTAACTTGAAGCTCTATCCCAACCCCTTAACAATCCCTGATGCTATGAAACTCTGAGTGCTGACGGGCAGGATGCAGCACAGACAGTCCTGGGGGCTCCAAACAATGCCTTTTCTGGGGCCAGTCCCATTTGCTGACACATTACTTTCATGAATCCCACCATTAGTGCTGTAAGCACATGAAGTATAAGTTAATTCTACTGTAACTTGATTATTAAATCCATTAATCAAAGGCAGGAGATCCGTAATTAACTTATTCTCCAGCATCAAGTAAATGATTCTGCTGTGAGCTTTAAGAAAGCATTTGTTCACTAATATGCAAAATACAGTGGGGCTATTAGACTATAAGGCTCTGTAATTGTGTAATTAAATTATAAATTTTGCATATTTTAATACCATTTTAAGTATTTTCTTTGTAAAGTTAAAATGGAGGATCATTTTTTGGGGCATTTTTTGTAAGGTTTTACATACAATTTACAAAAAATTCATAATGAATGTCTGTCCCCTGCCTGTAGCCT